GGGGGGGGCGGGAAGCAAGTGGCTAGAGGGGAGGGTTGTGAGTCTGGGGGACACTGTGATTCTTTCTTGGGCAGGCACTATTGTGCCAACACAGCCTCTAGCCCAATTTGAAAAGACTCTTCTCCGGAATAATGGTGCCCTGTCCTTGGGGGGGTGCATCCCCCCTTTCTGCTTTCAGGGCAGTGGTTCTCAGATGAGAATCGGCCTGGGTTTGGGGGCCGGGTGGTTTTCCAAGCTCCTCGGATGGTTCTAACAGGGGCCAAGGCTCATAGCCACTGTTCCAGAGTGAGGAAAGCCAGCACCTGGCCCCAGGCTACTGGGAGAACAGTGTGGGTGCAGGAAGCCGAGGGGACAGCTTGAGAGAGGAAGGGGGTCCACACTTCCTGCTCCTAGGGCTGGGTCAATGAGCTTTCTTCCAGGTCAGGGAGGGGGGCACAGGAGATGAGGAGACTGGGTTTCCCCTTGCTTTTTCACGAATTCACTATGTGGCCTTAAACAAGGTACTTCTCTCTGAGCCTCAGCTCTACAATGAGGATGCACGACTGGATTCCTTCTGAGGGCCTCTGAAGCCTTCACAGCTCATGGCCTTGTGTCTTGTATAGCTCTGATTCAAACTCATTACCAGCTTCAGCACCGCCAACACATACCTGCGCGCCCAGCCGTGGTGGCTTCTGCGGGGGGCCCGTGAACTCCGCTGCAAGGGGGAGGGAGAGTGAGTCAGGGGGGGAGGTCTCAGCACCCTGGCCCTTCCCTTCATACCTGCAGATAACCAAGCCAACCCCCTCTCCTCTGCTACCAGGAGACTCAGGGAAGCTAAGGTCGAAGGCGTTTCCGGGAAGGTGGCTGGGAAAATAACCTCTGGCCTCCCTGGCCCTCCCACAGTCAGGCACTGCTGTCCATTTGATAGAAAGACAAATCCAAAGTTGCAGTGGAGATGGAGTGATTACAGCAGGTGCTCCAGATTCTGCCGGTTGCACATTGGCCCCCGAGCACACACTCTGGCCTTGACATTCATGGGGAAGAATCTTCAGCCCGGTGCCAGAGCAGTTAATGGGGTAGCTTTGTGAGGATTTCTTGATGGTCTGCCTTGAGCATTTGGGGGTCCAAGAAGTAAAATAGCCGAGGAACCACACTATTCACTCCACACTTTGAAAAGCAAAGACATGCGCAGGGCGTGTGAAGTTGCTGGAAGAGTGAGCAGGAATGGAAGCCAGAAGACTGGTTGGTTCTACTCTCTAACCTTCTGCCGCCAGACAGCTGTGTGACCTGGGGCAGCTCACTTACACTCCCTGGCCCTTATTTTTCATCTGTTAAATAGGAGGTTCGCTCAGAAGGGACCCTGCAGCCGGACTGCCTGGGCTCCAATCAGAGCTCTGCTATTTACTAGCTGTGTGACTTTGGATAAGTTACTTGACCTTTCTGTGCCTCAGTTTCATGTCCTTTGTAAAATGGACATAATGATTCATTGTATCTATCCGACAGGGTTGCCGTGAGGTTAGAGCTGACATTTGCAAGCAACTTGGGCCCGCGCTTGGCTAGTGTTCCGGTTCCAGTGACTATTGTCATTGTCGCTGTCATTGTCATGATTGTCATCATCCCCATCGCCACCCTCATCAGCCACACCCTCCCTAGGAGGATGATGATGAGCCTGGCTCACTGCTGGCTCTCCCTGCTCCCCCCCTCTTCAGCAGCAGTTTCTGGAAAGGCCCTGCGGCCTCAGCTGCCCCTACCTGCCCTCTCCCTTACGTGCCCTGGGCCTAGCGAAGAGAGGCATCAGCTGAGAGGCGGGCGGAGCTACTCTCCACCACAGACAGCCTCGCACAGAGTGAGGGGGAACAGGACGGAAGAACCACCGAGGCCTCCAAATACATGCAAGAGGAGATCAGTGAAGCGAGGGCTGAGGACCCGGCAAGAGGGAGAGACGAGAGAGACGGGCCAAGGCAGGGAGAGGGCGGGGGTGGTAGATGGAGCAGAGTGTAGGTATCAGTTCCCAAACGGGCCCTCTCTGCACGCTCGGAACTGAAACAGGCAGTTTCTGAAAATGGCGAACAGACTCTCGGCCTCTGCGGTGGGCAAGGAGCATGCGGGAGCGCTCCCCACGCGAGGTCAAGCGGAAGCTGCCGCCCAAAGGAAGGGCGCGAACACTTACTGTAGCCGGCCTCCTTCTCCGGGGTCTGGAAGGGAGGAAAGAGAACCTGTCACCAGCGCGGCCTGGGCACACCCCGCTCCCCACCTTGACCTGTTCCCCGCTACACACGCGGAGGTCAGAGGTGCAGGGGGCCGCTGGGGAGCTCCCGTCTCAGACCCGAGGGCCCGGTGGCAGAGGCGGGGGATGCGCTACAGCTGTAGATCCAGCCGGAGCCAAGGAACCACAAGCGGAGCTTCAGAGTTTCGTGGAGATCAAGGTGAAGGGAGGAGTCGAGCTCCCAGAGGGAGAGGCAGAAAGGGAAGGAATGGGCAGGCAGGGGGCCTGGTGCTGGGGTCCCGCTGTCTCCAACACCTTCCCAGGCCTTGACTTTAAGACAGAGATCACTCCCAGTGACTTACCAGCGGGGACTTGTCATTCATGTACACCATGGGGTCCTGCAGAGGAGGAAATCGAAGCAAACGATTTAGGATCCTAGAACCGAAAACCCTAAGGACGCACAGAGAGCATTCCTCCTCGTCAGCTGGGGATGCACGAGGACCCAAGTGGACACGGTGGTGTGGACATCGCTCCCATTCAAGCACTTTTATCACTGTGTTCAGCAGCGCTGCAGAGAGTGGGGTCCCCTCCCACCCACGGCCCAGAGGCTGCTCACCAAGGATTTCTCCTCCTGCCTCAGCCACTGATAATCTTCCACCATCTGCTTCTGCTGCTTGTCCAGAATCTGTCGCATCTTGAGCCTCTCGGCCTCCCATAGCTGCTGGGCCTCTTCTCGGCTGCTGGGTCGGATGAAGTCCTCCTCCTGAGAGGACAGTGGGGAGAGAGGAGAGGACACGATGAGTCCAGTGCCCAGACCCAGGCAGGGCAATCCCCCGAAGAGCCCGTGGGAGCCACAGAGCTTGGCCTCGCCTGCTGCTTTGTTTCTTGCAAGGTTTGTTCTTAAATCCTTAGCCATGGATGCAGACAGTTATTGGCTATGTTGCAGTATCATGTCAAACCTGAGAGCGCAGCACTGAACATGCATGGTATATGAACAATTACAGGATCTGCTCATACAATTTCATTTTCAAATTACTGCCCTAATAGTATTTTCTCAGTTGGCATTTGTCATGGTTGCGGTCACTTCATACATTTAAAAATGCAAAGCCAGCCCTCTGGAAAGCCTTGGGTGCTTATCGCCGCCACCGGAACACCGTGGCAGGGGGTCTGGGAGCTTAGAGAAGCGCGGCGCCGCCTCTAGGCTCACGGTGTGCAGTCCTGCAAAGCTGACCATGGAGGGATGCAGGCTGAGGGAAGGAGTGACAGCATGCACCCATGTGATGGTGCCTTTTTATGAAAACATACTCTTTATTAAGCTAGGTTATCGAACCAAAGGCAAAAAGAAATGCATGAGCTAAGAGAAAAGTGAAGAACGAAATTTAAAGCAATATGGATCTATAGATAGGCAGTACATGCTTGCTCTCCCTAGCTTTATTAATCTAACCCTCCTTTTAACTCATTTGAAGGGCTCTGGAACTATAGTTTCACCTGGGAGTTCTTAAACAGAAGGTGTTACATGTTTTCTTACTCCTTCTTTCCCCTCATTCTTCCCCAGGGTTCATTTATATCAGTATCTTCTCGTCCCTTCAAACTCTGGCTTTTTTCTGCTTCACGCAATCACCTTGGCCTCCCAGACTCATGTGTGCTATTGTCATTCTTTTGATTGCAGAAAGCCCAGGGTGACCTTTGTCAGGAGCAGGACCCTTCTGTGACATCCAGACCAGCAGCCTCTTCAGATCCTTGCTTTTAAAGTGGCCATTTTACATACAAGTCACTAGCATAGAATGCTAAAAATTATTCTCTATCTACTTTAGCAAGCCATAATCTCTGCCAAGCCTCTAAAAAAGATTTTCCCCACCAAACCCTTTAAAACACACTTGAATATAACCACACAGTTTCAGATTAGTTATATTGGTGTTTTTCCTAGTGCTCACTGAGTTTCAATCACGGCTCTCGATTTCTAACAATACTTCCCCCGCCGACCCCCCCGCAAGTTAGATTTCTTGCTGAAATACTCTTTGTTACTCTATTCAACACCTACTTATTAAGCAGCTACTTTGTGGCAGGCATAGGGCTGGGTGCTGGGAGGGCAGTGATGATAAAATATGCGATGTCCCTGTTCTCAGAGGGTGAAGTAAGCAACAGTTAGACCAAGTTTCTCAACCTCAGCACCATGAACATGTGGGGTCAGATCATTCTTTATTGGGGGAGATTTCCTGTAAATTGGAGGATGCTCAGCAGCAAGTCCACAAAATAGATGCTTTTAGCATCTCCCCAGTTGTAACAAAATGCCTCCAGACATCTCCAAATGTCCTCTCGGAGGCAAGATCATCTCAGCTGAAGGCTACTGAGTTAGACCTTACTTTAAGAAAATAAGTTTCAGGTCATAAGAGTATTTTACAATCACAGAATTGATAAAATAAGATTTATTTCCCAGATGCTGATGCTCCAAAATGAGGGTATTTGAAGGTTATAAATATCTGCAGTTCAATGTCGATACCGACAAACACAATGGTATGGCTACCCCTGGCTATTGACAAATAGTGACACACAGGAACTAAGTGTCAAATATTCTGACTATCAAATCTCTAGGTGAGATTAGACTAGTCTAGACTAGACTAGACTGAGAGAGACTAAATACTGGTAGAGGAAGTTAGTAGACTCAAGAAAACATTGTATAGTTTTGTAAGTGTTAAAGGAAAATTCCCACTACTCAACTGCCTAGGATGTCCCAGGCCCGATCACCATCTCACCAAATATTTTAACATGTATTGGGAAAATGTTCCTATGTCTTACAATTTCATAATACAACTCAAGGAGAAAATAAGATTTTAAAAAATTGATCACTTTAGGGCTTACTTGTCTGCAAGGTACCTCAGATATTCTTATCAGGCAATAGCAACTTAGATTGCTGGTCACTTTTAAAAGGAATCAGGCTCTTATGGTGTCTTAAAATGACTCTCGCAAGCTGTAATTCCTTCCATAATTTGACTACCCCCTCCCATCTTGCCAGCTTTATTTCCACCTCCAAATGCATCCTCCTGTGTTCTAGCCAAACAGGTCCTGCACTTGCCCTGTGGCTTCCCATTACTTAGTCTTGGATTCTACTAATGCATCTGCCTCTTTTATTTCCCATACCCCAGTTTCTTCCTGTCCAAATCTTCCCCATCCTTCGAGGCCCAGCTGAAAAAAAAAGAAGCTGGAAAGAGCTGTTCTTCTCTCTAAACTCCCAGTGCACCTTTCCATTACCTCTGTGTGCCACTCACAGCTTTATGGCTTGCATTATAGGTAAGTGTGCATCTGCTGTATTCCTTCTGGCTGCCTGAAGCTCACCGAAAGCAGAACACCCTTGTTCTCCCTTCAGCACCTAGGACAGTGCCTGGCACAGCGTTCCTGCACAAGGTAGTTCATTGAATTTTATTATAATTTTAAACCTCAATTGTGAGGTCTTCAAGAGGGAGATTGCTGCCATCCTGACTCTTGTGTGGAATGCCAGATTCCCAGATGAGTCAGGCAAGAGAGTCAGTCAGTAGAAAAATTGTTTTTGTGGGGAAACCATCTCTGATTTTTGTTAAATGCTTTCAGATGCTTTGCAGGAAGCCTATTATACCTTTCCGGCATTCTACCTAAAAGAAGTTTTCTCAGTCTTTCTGATGTATATTATAAAATGGATTTTATATTTTTTACTTTTTTTTGTTTACTTAAAGAAACATCCATTCTATTCCTTTACGTAGACCTTCCTTACGACAAGTACTTCTAAACCCCTAACACAAAAAGTCTTTTCTTCCCTGCTGCACAGTATGTCTTTATGGAACTGAACAAAGTCTTATGGTGAAGGGGGATTAGACAAAGGCAGTGCCACCCCGGAAATGTGCAAAATAGCTTTTTTCTAAAAGGACACATTTTAAAGCAAAACTCAATTACGAATAGAGTCAAGGACAGGAAGGTGGAGGAACTGAGCATTGCCTAAATTATAGTGCATACTTAAAAATGCAGTTTTATTATTGTGTTAAGATATAAATTGGTTAAATTAATTTAAAAGAGGAAAATGAGCTAGGTCAGGGGAAAATTTAGTTCACAATAGATCTTGCTGCCTAGAATTCTAAGTTACCTTACGCATTTCAAAATTTTGCTAAATTAAAAATAATGGTACAGAATATACCAACATAACTTTCCTATATTTTTCAAATCTATTGTAATAAACATGGAGTTTTCCAAAAACTTTTAGAGTCATGTATCCTGAGTCTGAAATATCATGCATGTATACAGAGTTAGAACTAAAATAATGCCTTTGGTTTGTTTTGTCACATATCAAGACTCAGTTTAGTAAAGTATATCAAATATTCATGCCAGATGATCACACCTCCTTTGAAGGAGAAGATGGGTGCTGAGAAGTGACAAGTGGGTATCTCTTTTACAAGCAAAGCTGCCTTTTTTTCCCCCCCACAAAACTTGACAATTAGAAGCTAGTCCACGAAGTACTCAGGGCCCCATTGGCGATTACACAAAGACGTGACTGGGAAGGGTGGTTTAGCCCCACACTAACCCCCAAGCTCCTTCCTGTACAACATCAACTTTGACAAAAGCAGCAGGAGTATAGCCACAAGGAAACTTTTCCTTTCACTGAGGAGAGATTTAGCAACTGAAGCAACCAGGCAGGAAGGGCAGAACTAGGCAGAACCTCCGGGATCTTTTATTCTCTGGCACCATCAAGCTTGGTTACCCTCTGCCCACAAGCCACCACACTACCGCCCCCCGCCCCTGCCCCAGGGCTCAGGAAACATAGCACCAAAGTATGGACAGGGGCAGGTCCAGGTCCAGCTAGTGTCCTTGGGAGCAGAGCCTGACTTGGCCCCCAGCTTCCAATGTGTTTGCAAAAGAGGGGAAGTTACAGAGCCCCTTGATGGACTGACTGGTGCATTAAAGCATGGAGGGCCCCTCCTGAGCTGGAGGATGTGGGGTTCCTGGTGTCCCAGACACCTCCCTCTAGCAGCTCTCTGAGTTCGGGCTAGGACCCAGCATGCAGAGCCCTCTTACCCGCATGCTGTGGCGCTTGAAGACATTGTGCCGGTGGAGAGGTGGGGTGTGCAGTGAGTTTACAGGAGATGGATACTCCATAGGGCTGGTGAGCGTAGGTGAGCTGGCACACAGACCCTCAGGGACCTATTCAGGAGAAGTAAAGAAGCACCAGCACAGGGACAAGACAAGAAGGTGGACAATTAGCTGCTACAAACGTGAGCACAAAGAAGCAATAATGGGCACCACAGGAGACATTGGACTTGCTCTTCAGGAGCTAACAAAGGATGTGGTGTGGGCATTTCGTTGGTCTTGTTTGGGAGACATGGCAGGGTGACACACACGGCTCTTGGCTAGGAGTCAGTGCAGCCCCTGTGGCCTCATTCATCTGACAGCCAACCATATGACGCTCTGCGTACAATGGGGTCCACGTTATGTTACTGACCTACTGAGTCCATGTCTCCTCCTTCAGGACTCTTCAGAAAGGAGTTCTATTTCATAAGCATGTCACAAACTCACAGGTATGATTAGCCCACAGAAATATGTGTGTGTGTTTGTATTTAATCACTATTTTAAACATCACAAAAAGGTATGATTCTTTTCAGGAATATTGCTTCTCTCTTCTGCATCAAGGTTTTCTTCTTCACACAACAAGGATTTAGCTGTTAGTTCTTGGTTAGCCTTGTTTTGGTATTGGAGTGTTTCCTTGAGAAATATATGACCATGGGACACCACTTTTCTCTAAGGAGCACCAGATAAACATTGTTTCTATTGGTTGAGATGCTCCACTGTTGATCAGTGATTCTGAGCTGAGGGATGTAAGAGAAGAAAAGAGATGGGCCTTGGCTCCCTGTGACTGAGATGCAGGACAGAGACACAAGACAGAGACATTCTCAGACAGGGACTGACATCTTGGGAAGATCCCATGGTTGGTAATGATGGAGGCATGAGGAAAGCTCCAATGGAACCTTGCTCTCAGCTTCTGGCCACCTGGGTTCTGCCTAAGGTCTCCATGGGGAGCCCCAGGGAGCAACTCCATCCTCTGGGAACATCAACTATTCCCAACTGCTTGAAATTCCTTCTCAGAAAGCTCTGCTCTGGGTAGGGGGCCAGGAAGGCCTTGGGAATAGAGAAGTAGCTATAGGCAGGCACACAGAGCAACAAACACTATGGACAGATGGACTGAGCTTAAGGCAAGTCTTAGCTGAGGAGAGCCTGGTAGAATTGCATTTTGATTCTTTTGATCTCTGGGCACTCTGAGTGCAAATTCTCTTGTGGGTACCAAAGAAGAGTCAATGCAGGCCATCTCCATAACCCAAGCAGGTAATAATTGCTAGTCCTCCAAGGCACGAGAATGGAATTTCAGGAAGGTCCGAGATGAGGAATGACCCCAAATTTCCCAGCCCTCTGGTTACATGTTTACCTGGAACTGCAGCTTGGGAGCCAGAAGGTTGGTTTGTGGAGGGGGTCTATACTTGGGCCGGCTGGGCTGGAGAGAAAACACAGAGATGAGTCAGTCCATGCCTCTCTCCTTGAGTGAGCATAGCTCACCAAGGGGAATACTGGGCTGGACACAGGTCAGGCTTATTCAGAATAAAGGAGAGATGAGGGGCAAAGTTATCATTAAAATCATTTGCATTCACTTACTGAGCACCCATTATGTGCTGAGTGATGAGAAGGTACAAAGAAGCCAGTCTCTCTGCCCTCCTGGGGGTATCACTAATTGAAGGGTTTACTGATCTTTGGTGTGTCACCTCTTTAGATATGGGAACACCTGTCAAATCAGCTGTCAAAAGCCACATGCTTCTAGAGGTAACAAGTTACCAAGGGCTCAGGCACGTGCAGAGGCTTCATGGAGGAGATGAAAATTGAGCTGGGCCCTGCCTGAGGGAAGGATCAGGGCATGCCAGGCAAGGGGGGACAGTGAGAAAAGGCCTTGGACCAGATAGGACTTTGTTATGGACTATTTGTGCCGCCCCCCACCCCCAGATTCATATGTTGAAGCCCCAACCCTTAGTGTGATGGCATATGGAGGTAGGACCTTTGCCAGATAATTCGGGTTAGATGAGGTCATGAGGCTGGGGCCCTCATGAGGGGATTAGTGTCCTTATAAGAAGAGACACCAGAGCTCTTGCTCTCTCTGCTGTGCTAAGACACAGTGGGAAGGTGGCCATCTGTAAGCAAAGAAGAGAGTCCTCACCAGACAATGAATCTGCTAGCACCTTGATCTTGGACTTCCCAGCCTCCACACTCAGTCTATGGTATTTTGTTATGGCAGTCTGAGCTGACTAATATGGATATGGTCCCTCAAAACCCACCCACATAATGGCATGGTAGCAAGGCACTGGATTCTGAGTCCAGAGATGTCATGAGTGTGGGCATGGAGGCTGGACATAAGGGACCCAGGGACACTCCCCTTCATATGCCCTCAGGGACATCTAATTTGCCCCTAAAAAATACCAGAAATAAAAGTGCTCCAGCCTCTCAAGGGAAGAGTGTCCAGGGTGATTCCCTGCCCTAGCTGCCCTCTGAGGGGTGTGCTCTCTTGGGGCCTCAGATCACACCTGCCAGGGCACCCATGTGATGGGGGCTAAATTTAGTGCTGGCGGACAGTTGGGTTGAAGGCCAAGAGGACCACGGGAGCACATCCTGCCTATGCTGGAGGAAGAGGGAGGAGTTACAGAGTCAGGCCAGGAGTGGGCTAGATGGAGACCCAGCTCTGCTTGATTCACAGGACCCATGAGACCAGGGCTTGGTTTACCTTGGGTGGGGGTTCCTGGTAGGCTGTGGGCTCCAAGATTTTGGGAGGTCGGTAGCGAGCATTCCTCTCCTGCTCTATAGCGATGTCTTTCTCCATCTGATAAATGTCACTGCCAAGGAGTCGGTCAGATAAAGAAAGAGGAACAAAGTTAAAGATGCTCCTGGGGCCCCTTTTCTGCAGTCCTTCCTCTGAAGCCTGGAGAGGCCCAAAGAAGGACCTCTGGGTCCCATTTCTGTCTCCTCAGAAGAGTGGCTGGGGAGACCCCTCTGAGAAGGCTGGAAGATGGACCCTGAGGCTGCTTCCCCAACAGTGAAGTTGGGAGAATCACAGGAATGGATCCATGGTGGGAAAAGCCCTTGGAGAGCCAGTCCTACAAGGCAGTTTAAGTGTGTCTTCTGCCCACCTTGCCATGCATCTTGCCTTCCTGGGCCTGCTACCACCCCCCTATGTAGATTTCTAATATCCCAGCCAACTTCATGACCAAGGCCTGTGCTCTGCATCTCCTATTTTTCATTAAACCACCCACCAACACATTCCTGGCGTAGACTAATGAGAAATGGCTGTGGATTCAACTCCCGGGTTAGCTATGTGCATGCTTCTTGCCCTTCTTACTCAATCCACTGTTTCCCAACTTGGGAATCACAGACCCTAGAGGACTCTGGAATGGTCACAGGGGGTCCCTGAATTCACATGTATTCCCTGTCTGTAGACCAAGTATTATGTGCTACCAGACATATAATATTTGTATTATATTTTCAAGTGTACATGAATTATACTGTACATTATATAAAAAATTCATTAGATAGCTTAGTACATTTTGCCAATCAATAAATTCTGAAAATGTAACTGTTGTTATAGGGAGGAATTTTCAGAATTTGACATTAAAAGGGACCTTCTTATGCCCACAAGATCAGGAAATTCTCATCTAATCCTTTCTTAACTCTAATGGAGGACTGCCAGGCTGTAGCTTGAGGGGGGTGTCCTGGGCTCCTTGGGGTCTTTGGATATCCTTCCAGTTCCACAGAAAGCCTGCTCCTAACTCCATCCATGGTGGGGGCTGGCCTGGGTCCTCTAAAGGGGCATCCTTCTCAGCCCACAGAGAAGCACCTGTCACAACTCCCCAGGGTTCTTAAGCCCCCAGAATGAATTAAGATCTCCCTCTTACCCTCATCACCTCAGAGCTTTGGTCCTTTCAAATTACATTTTTCAAATACTTTTCCTGGAACCTTTTGGCTTCTCAAATTTCCCATATGAAGGACCAAAAGATGAGACTAGAATTAATCAGGGGTGTCAACAAAGGGATAGACAGGAACAGAGAGGTCTTTTAAGCTGGACGCCTTGCAGACCATGTTGGAACCCCTGGCCCCACAAGCAAATTCAGTGTCATTCCCACTGCCCCAGTGTGGACAGTCCCAGCTTGCCCGTTGGGGTACCTCCCTGCAAAGCAGTTTCCAGGGGCTCTTTTCTTTCTCTAAAAAATGCCAACACATTGACTGCAGTGTTTAAAGTCAGTTGTTTTTAACATTAATTAAGCACTAGATTCCCTAACGCAGGGGTCAGCACACTGTTGCCCACAGGCCAAATCTAGTCCTCCGCCTATTTTTATATGGCTCCAAACTAAGTATATTTTTTACATTTTTAATGACTGAAGAAAATAAAAAGAAGAAACTTCATGACATGTGAACATTACATAAAATTCAAATTTCTGTTCCCCCAAAGAGTCTACCTGAAACCCAGCTACCCACATTGATTTTTTATGTATTTTCTATGGCTGCTTTTGAGCTATTACGGCAGAGTTGAGTCGTTTTAACAGAGACCATATATGGCTTGCAAAGCCCAAAATATTTACTGTCCGGCCCGTTACAGAAAGTTTGCTGATCCCTGCCCTAAAGGAGGCCAAAAAAAAGTCAGACCACCCAAGGAGGAGCTGTCGGCACGCAAGCCACCAAGGAAACAAGGGGACCATCTAAAATGTGATCTGACATGGGGCGCCTGGGTGGCTCAGTCGTTAAGCGTCTGCCTTCGGCTCAGGTCATGATTCCAGGTCCTGGGATCGAGCCCCGCATTGGGCTCCCT